GACTGAGATGTTTTTGGACCATTATTGCTATCGTTTTGATTGTGAATCGAAACTGAGGAGGCAAGATTCGACAAAGAAATATTATTTAAATATTCCCAGACCTAAATTATAAAATTCAAAATTTCATATCTTGAAATATGAAATTCTTGCTTTCAGACAAGATGTTGCTGGAATATTCATGCTGATACGGACAGAACGTCGTAGGCTTTGACCTATCGCCTTGATTATTATATATGAAAATAGTAAGTCAAGTTTATCTTCATAACAATAAAATCCAAGCTTTCAACAAATCGGCGGTTAGATTGGTTCTACGGAATATCTATAAAATTTTCCAAAAGTCTTTTGTTGCTGTCAAACCATTGACACATGATCCTGACTTCATGGAACATGGTAACCTCTAGAATACGAGTTAAAATCTTCATATCAAAAGTTAACTGCTGTTGTACTTTCTTAGTCATCAGCCTATCATGCTATAAGCTAGTTCTTTCTTTAACGCTGCGGCAGTTGACAATAAATTAGATACAAAATTAAAAATTTCCAGTTAATAAACATAGATTTCACGTCAGACACTACATTTTTGGTCAAATCCTACGCAAGAAAGGAAAAAGCGCGAGAAACTAGCAGATTTCATTTTCTTGAGAACACCATTCAACGCCTTTTGGTTTTAAATTTAGAAATACACCAACTTACCTAGTAAACAATGTTCTCATAGTTTTCATTTCTTTGCTCGAATGCTACCACCACGATATTTTTTAGAGAATATCCCGATAATAATAACAAAACCATATTTATACAGGTAAACTTGTTCAGCAAAATAAATTTGCAGTTGTCAACCAAGGACCTGTTAACCTAGTGCTCCTAAAATATTTGTTTTCCGTCCTGTTTCAAATTTCACTTTAGGGTCATTCCATATCAAATCATCAGATATTTTTAAGATTTGTAACCCATGGTCTTAGAATTTCCTGATTTTTTTACCACAAAGAGCCATTTTGGAGAAAACAGCACATACAAAATTTCATCCTTATATCTATTACGGTTGCGATTTTGTAGCCGTTTCAAAAGTGACCCGTTTTAGCCAAATATGCCACACCCAGTTTACCAAGCGATAGGCACGGCTTTCTATCAATAGCTGTAACTTTTCTATAGTTGTAAATATTTCCTTGAAAATAATGTCAATTATTGATTTGATACTATAGATTTCAAATATTGCATCAGAATTTGACAATTTTCTAAGGTGAAGCAGATAGTCATATGTTAAAGGTTATCACTTGTTTTGAAAATATTCCCAACCGATGTATATAAATATTGAAAAAAAGTCCTGTAGCTGGAATCATAGCATTAGAAGCTTGCTATATTCTGAAAGTGTATTCTTTGGGCTATCAGAAAATGTTTAAGATTACAATTGCAATTGAAGTATTTTGAGTTAATTGCACCTTACATAATGGGTATAATTTTGCAAGAATCGTGAGCAAAAACAAATTTGTAATTAAGGTAATATTGCATGAAATAAAAATAGCTGCTAAAAACATTGAGTCAATCATGATTTCACATTCAGAGACAACAAAGAATAATTAAAAATTATCCATAGCCATGGACAAGCTGAGATACTGCTTTATAGTCACTGTAGCTGAAGCTCTAAGTTTGACCGGTAATTGTTTTGGATGAATCAGTTTCGCAAAGCATGTAAATGTGATACCCAGCATATTTCTGATCTGCTTGATCATGTAAAGTTCTGAGTGGGTTCAGGTGGGTGCATGAAGTTCATTTGAAAGTCCCCTTCATCTTCATTAATGGAATAGGAACCCACCCGTCATTGTCATATAGGCAAGCAACATACTTTATCGTTCGAGTCCCAATGCCATTCTCTCCCTTCTTAGAAAGAAAAGCAAAGTTTCCTGCAAAGTCTCTTTCATCAGAAAATTACTTGAAAGTAATATTTTCATCTTTAAGTGGAATAAACTTATTAGAAGCAATTATGTTTGTGGTTGTACTACATATCAAAATTCATTACTTCCAGTTGCCATTAACAAAACATACAGAGATATGATAGACATGACTGTCTGCTGCAAGGACAGTAAGCAATGCAGGGACGTCTGTACTTAAAAGGTTTCTTGATCAGTGTTTACATGATGGTGATAGTGATGTTCTATTTCAGCAAGGTGATAACACTAGAAGATCAAAAATAGTAACAAGGTTCTTGAGTATTGCTGATTTTGTTGAGCTGCTGGTAAAGTGTATTGTTGCTTTGACCTCTCATTCTTTTCTTACACAATGGCAGTCAAAATACCTTAAGTGAAAGGAAGAAATGAAGATGATTCTTGTTTTTTGGCTGACTTTGCCGAAAACTATGAATTTTTCACTTAAGATGAAATTCAGTCAGCCCATTGGAACAAGCAAAATTGCATGCTACACCCCAGTTTCATCTACTTAAAGATAAAAAGATTACTTTCAAGTAATTTTCTGATGACAGAGACTTTGCAGGAAACTTTGCTTTTCTTTCTAAGAAGGGAGAGAATGGCATTGGGACTCGAACGATAAAGTATGTTGCTTGCCTATATGACAATGACGGGTGGGTTCCTATTCCATTAATGAAGATGAAGGGGACTTTCAAATGAACTTCATGCACCCACCTTAACCCACTCAGAACTTTACATGATCAAGCAGATCAGAAATATGCTGGGTATCACATTTACATGCTTTGCGAAACTGATTCATCCAAAACAATTACCAGTCAAACAGTTATACAGTGACTATAAAGCAGTATCTCAGCTTGTCCATGGCTATGGATAATTTTTAATTATTCTTTGTTGTCTCTGAATGTGAAATCATGATTGATTCAATGTTTTTAGCAGCTATTTTTATTTCATGCAATGTTACCTTAATTACAAATTTGTTTTTGCTCACGATTCTTGCAAAATTATACCCATTTTGTAAGGTGCAATTAACTCAAAATACTTCAATTGCAATTGTAATCTTAAACATTTTCTGATAGCCCAAAGAATACACTTTCAGAATATAGCAAGCTTCTAATGCTATGATTCCAGCTACAGGACTTTTTTTCAATATTTATATACATCGGTTGGGAATATTTTCAAAACAAGTGATAACCTTTAACATATGACTATCTGCTTAACCTTAGAAAATTGTCAAATTCTGATGCAATATTTGAAATCTACAGTATCAAATCAATAATTGACATTATTTTCAAGGAAATATTTACAACCATAGAAAAGTTACAGCTATTGATAGAAAGCCGTGCCTATCGCTTGGTAAACTGGGTGTGGCATATTTGGCTAAAACGGGTCATTTTTGAAACGGCTATAAAATCGCAACCGTAAGAGATATAAGAATAAAATTTTGTATGTGCTGTTTTCTCCAAAATGGCTTTTTGTGGTAAAAAAATCAGGAAATTCTAAGACCATGGGTTACATGGGTCTGATGATTTGACATGGAATGACCCTTTAAGAAACGATTAAAGTTCATTGTCCATTTTTGCGGGTTGTCTTTTAATGTTTATTTTCTGAAAGTACATTATAAAATCAATGGGTGCAAGACCGTTCAAGCATTTAAGGACCTCAGTAGCACACACTTTCTTTTTCTGATGTGGTTTATTGTTGATTTTTTAAGACTATTTCTTCTGCCATTTATAATCTTTAAAGATCGTATCTGGATGTTTTCAAATAGCTGTTTCTTAGATGGTGACAAGTCTATAAAAATGTTGCTGCAGTAAATTAGCAGTGGCAGTATTATGTATCTCTATATTGTTTCTGCTGCGTGATGGGTCAAGTTCGGTCTTATCCTGGAAATTTGGCTCTTGAGCCTGTCTTTTTTAGAGTTTTCTCTATGTGTTCAGTGTATATAAGACCTTTGATGTGTATATCCATAATGATCCTGTAATATTTATGGGCTGTTGATTCTGCAATTTTCAATCCAATCAGCTTGATTTCAAGGGCTGTCGCTTTTACTGTTTTTTTGGTTGTCCCATAAAAAATACACTCTGTTTTTGATTCAGGTTTATTATCACAAGTTATTTTCTTTATACTAGCAAGCAATCTGTTCTAATTCACTGCTCAAAATATTATCAATATCTGTACTTGTCTTTCCAGCATATAAAAAATTGCATCGTCAGCACATAGAATTATATCACACAATTTTAAATTTGTCTCGATATCATTCATCAGTAATGTGAACATCAATGGACCGTGGATAGATTCTTGTGGACCCCCATATGATAATGGGCGCATTTCAGAGCTATGTCCATCATGTACAACAGAATGCTTTTTGCCAAACTGCTGATGTCAAGAGACCCCTTTTCAATTTTTTTCACGATTGAGTTAGAAAAATGTGTAACAGCATGCTTGGTGGATCACCTATTTTTAAAACCAAATTGTCATCTCTTTAATCAGAATAAATAAAACCTAAAGTACTGACAATATAATAACTAAATAACTTAAGTGCCAAAAGTCAATAAGTCTGTGAAACAGACATGTCACATTCTCATTCATTTTTGATACTACAATTATTAACTTATTTTATTTTCATTGTTGGAATAAAGTACGACGCACAACTAGAGTACTAACTCCTACAGTACTTGCTGGATTCATCCATCGTTCATAAGTTCTTGCCTTGGTTGAATTTTTTTGTTTTTGGTAAGCGTTGAACTACTAGGGCTTCATCTTTGCTGCGCAGGGTGCTGTGGAAATGGAGCAGGTAGCTGATAGGCAAAAAGCCGCAAAACTCTAATGAGGTCGTTTGAATGGCAGATCGTCTCTGCCCCTCGTAAGGAGTATTTCAGGTATCCGAAGTTGCAGAAAAAGGAACAGTCATTGCCAAAATTAGATAGTTGCAACTGCAACGGTCGTAACCATCTGGATCCGCCCCTGAGCTGTGTCTGTCTTCCCGTCAAACCTATAATGCCTTGTATACAGTAGCACTGGTGGCATTATGTGATTTCTTTAGTCTTATGACAAAGTTAATAACGTATTTCTATTCTTTGACAGCAACATGGGTAGGAGGTGGATACATAAACGGTACAGCTGAGTCCGTGTACACTTCTGGTCTGGTCTGGGCCCAGGCTCCTTGGGGATATGCTGTAAGCTTACTTATAGGTGAGCTGCTATCTTTACTACCCAAGTTTCATATAAGATTTTATCTTAATTTTCATCATTAGCTTCCAGTTTTACCTTTTTTACGTTTTACATCCGTTTAATACTCATAATGTTACAAACCATTAAATAATTCAAGATTCAACGGTAAACAGTCAACAGTCAATTCAAAGTCGAAAATGACTTAAATAACAGCCTTGAATAACAGTACTTATATAGCCAGCTTTTCTCTTAAATCTCGCAGAATGTTCGAACAACAAAGGTTTGTTTTCCTCAGGGAGACGACAAAATTGGTTTTGAGGGTCTGTTTAGAGATTTTCAATGAACCTAAGAATTTTATTCGACTTGGTAAAAGTTTGAATTACTCGAGTTTGATATCTTTTAGTTGAACCCTTGATAACATCAATGGTGTTTCCGTTATAGGTGGTTTCTTCTTTGCCCAAACTATGCGCGAAAAAGGCTACGTAACAATGTTAGACCCGCTGCAGGAGAAGTACTCAAACTGGATGGGCGGGTTTTTATACATCCCGGCATTTCTTGGCGAAACGATGTGGACCGCTGCCATCTTAGGCGCCCTGGGAGCTACACTTAGTGTTATTCTGGACCTCAACATTGATTTAGCAGTTATCATTTCTGCACTTATTGCTGTTGGATACACATTCTTCGGTGGCTTGTACTCTGTTGCTTATACGGATGTTGTACAACTAATCTGCATTTTTGTTGGCTTGGTGCGTATCATTGTAGAAATTTGTCTATTGTTAAACTCAATAAAGATTTGCATTTTTCGTTTAAGATGGGTGTATGTGTTAAGAGCTGATCCAGACAAAGATTAGGCCACATGTAGCAGAGATTGGTCATATGAAATATTATCTTTGTCTTTGCTTCCATAATTTCATCCAGCCCGCCGAATGCTTTTTATCTCGAAAATATTTTTTGCCAACATTTTTTCAAAATTTGGAATTCGATTCATCTTTGGTTTTCTTTTGTCCTCACTGATATTCTTTTTTCTCTGTAGTAAATATTAGATGCGTTCAATGAAAAGTTATTAGTCCAAAAGGGAGTACCAAAAAGGAAATGCTTTATTTGATCATTTTATCGTTTTATAGCGTTTCCTTTTTCATTTCAACAGATTCAATAGAAAACTTTAAAAATATTGCCTTGAATTTTCTCCTGTTAAAATCTATTTGAGGTGTTGTTTCTGGCCATTCCTAGATCAATATAACCGAACAATTTTTTGCCGCCAACCATGGTGGCTTCTGACTAAATACATCCGCAAACATAAGATTTTGGCCTTTCTTTAAAATACGCTGTGCAGTCCCTCGATCTGACTTCAGGCGCTTCTAGCCTAAAAATAGCCAAGAGCGATCTTCTGACTCACTTCTGACTTCTGACTCAAGTTACAAACCTTTGTGAAAACTATTGTTTGGGTTTATGCGAAGGTGGATAAGATAGGCAGGCACGAAATAAAAGGCCTGTCTATCTTATCACTAACTTAGCCTGGTAAAAATGAGATCTGAGTTTCATTTTGAGCAGCCTACACAAGGTATGTAAAAGTTGAAAACCAGCTGGAAGAAAATCTATATTTTTTTCTGGCCCGGCACTTAAAATAATCAAGAACCCCTTAAACTGAGTCAACGATGGTAGTTGTACTTCGAATCAATAGGAGTGTCTCTCGGGTTTTGGGTAACATGTGTTTTTTGTACTTACTAGAGTCTACCATAGTTTATGTACTGTGTGTATTTCGTGTGATAAGACATACAATATCGTTGCCAGTTGTCAGGATGACAAATTGATGAATTGTATTGGATGGGCTAGTTCCAGACTACGTTTCTAAAGCGCTTCTTTTTGCTAATTGCTAGTGGGATTATTTTTAAGATGTGTTTATATAAACAACCACAATTAGCATGTCGTTATGTTTAGGTTATAGTACACCAAGATAATACGATTTATGTGATGGTGAAAGTGAACTTAAGACTGCTTTTCAATTATACACATCCTAACAAATTGTTTGTTCTTTTCAGTGGATCACAATCCCGTTTGCGATGACGAATAAGCACGTGAAAAAAATTGCAACAACAAGTTCCACGTGGGTTGGAACATACGATGATAAGTATACAGGGGAGTGGCTTGACTATGCAATGCTTCTGGTAAGGGTCATTTCTATTGTTTTGTCAATGGCAAGCGTATTCGATTCACGAGCGGGCCGATTTATCCGGGCTCTATAACTTTTAAATCAACGCATAAAATTATATATTTTACTTTGGAAAAAGTTTTTTTTCTAAAATGTGCCTGGGCCAACAACTAGGGTGGACAGAAACTGTACAAATGACTGTGAATGAGTGTCATTTCAATTTTTACGTGCCATAACCTTGAACAGCGTATGAAACAATCAATCAGTTTTTAAAATCTTGCCCTGAAAAGTTGATTTGTCACAAAACAGGTTCAGAAAAAAAAGATTGATTTTAGATGTAAATATTCTTTAAAAATTTGCAGCAATCATACGAGAGAACATGTATATACTAAAATGGTCAGTTTCTTTCGTCTTTTCATGCATCAATATGTAGAATTACAAATATTATCTTTCACAAATTTAATATTCAATCCAAAATGCCGCAGGTTTATAAATTTTTTATGAAAAGCCATTGCAATCGATTCCTTTGCTTTGAAAGCAGTAAGAGTGCAGGAACGACAATCTTGTCCAGTCTTTCTTTCTCTTTCTGTTTTCCTTCTCTAGCTACTTCCAATATTTTGAGTACCCATGTTATTTAGCTTTAGTATATACAGACTTTCGTTGCTCTCTCATTTGTTACGTTTTTACGTTTTCTATCAATCATATTTTCTTTTCATATGGTCCTAGCCATAGACTATGGCCTAGCAAATTTCTAAAAATGCAACTATGATGTTTATACAACTAAGAATAGGTTTTTACGGTCTAATCCTTCAATCTTATTATTCAATTTACCCAATGTTAGGTCTTTAGAAGCTAATTGTTCTATCTTTTATATATCCCCTTCAATAACTAAAAATTTTTTCAAATTCACAGTAAACACTTCCCTCTATTGAACCCCTTTCTCCAATAAACGCTGCACCGAATTGATCAAAACTTTGATGAACTTCATTGATAATACCAAGGCAGATGATCCAAGGCCTTTTTTTGCCAAACAGCGTTCCTATCTGAATTTGCCTTTTGTATTTGTTTCAGTGCTTTGGCGGTGTTCCGTGGCAGGTTTATTTTCAAAGAGTCTTGTCTTCCAAATCAGCAAAAAATGCGAAGATTCTGTCAATCAATGCCGCTTTTGGCTGTATTGTAATGGCCATTCCAGCTGTCTTGATTGGTGCCATTGCGAAATCTTCTGGTATGTGAACATTTTTTCATTTAAATAGGTAAAATGGATACTGAACTGCCCTAAAGCACCAAGATTTTACATTTCTCTTTTGCATGCTACCATTGGTGCTTCCTATTTCCTCTCCCTGACAAGAACAAAATTTGATAATTATGCGAATTTCATAAAAGTCCAACGAAAGCGTCATAAAATTTCATAAGATTCCACGTTTACGTAAGAAAGTCGTCACTTCGTAGCGAGAAAAGAAAGGCGAGACCGTTTAGTATAATGGTGCAACATGCGTTTAGAAAGAACTTGACTATCATGACAAATAGCAACTTTGCTGCAGTTTTTGTTTCTTATTGTTCCCACATAGGAAGCAATATTTTAGCTTTGAATGGTTTGTACAATGATAAAAGCTTGCTTTTGAAACGAGCAAAAAGTCTAGGAGTGCAGTATATCAATCCAAATGTGATCGATCCAGCCAATAGATTAAGCATCCTTTGCAGCTAAAGAAAGACGAGATAACGAAAGACGAGATATTCCCTCAAAAGATAATATAATCCTCAAAGGCTCATTATGTTAGGATCTCTTATCTTATCGTTGCACAAGTTAACGAATTTTTTAAACCCTTACGAAATAACGAGTAAAGTTTTTTTATGAAAAATAGTGAATACTATATTTAATGAATACTATATGATATTTCAACTCGGCATAAAGGGCTTCATCAGAGAAGGAAAGAGTAACTAAATCTTTTACCTTACCTGATAACCACAATAATATTTTCTTAAAGATAACTGCTTAGTGTTCGGTTTGTTTTCATTATCTGAGTATTGAGATTTATATTCTTCAAATAAAAGTACGGTAAAAAGTTGCAGTTTACCATTCATAACCCATAGTTTGCTGTCTCGATTACAAACAAAATCTGTAATTCTTGTCAGTTCTGGTCTTTCTCGCATCTGCTAGCTTTTATTTCGAGCTTTTAGACTCTCATTGGTAAGTTTAACAAACACTGCTTTCTCTTACGCCCCTGCCAAACAAACTTAAAATCTTACCGAGCAACTCTAAACGTTTGCAAATCTTGCCCAGCGTTGCTCAGCGCGCTTCTCAAGACGGTTTGGTCAAACGCACTGAACCTTGCCAACAACAATTCTATGAACAAGCAGTGGTTATTGTCAGTAAAAAAAGTTTCGCCGTCAATATTTGAAAGAACAATAGTTACTTATAGAACTGTAGAATGAGATATTTGATTCCATCTTTAAAATGCCAATGACAATTCTTCCTTCATTTCCTTCTTGTTTTCTTTGCTTGCACCCTTTCCTGGCCTGTTTTTATCTTTTTCGTTATTCTTACCAGTAGGAACCCCATGCTTTGATGAAATTTTATTAATCTTATTTGCTCAAACTCTCTATAACTGCAATTGAGGAGCATTTTTTATTTTCTTGATTGCTTTCACAGAAGACATGCGTTAAATTTTTAGGACCGACATAAAATAAAATATCAGTTTGAAATTATATCTCTTTCCATTGGATTCTCGTCTTCGTATTGCTTTGTTCCTGACCAGTTTTTCATAAAGTATATTGTACACGAATTTAAAAAGAAATCACTTAAACCATTATATAAGACTATTAAGTCAATCTCATTTAAAAACTGAACGTTCTATTGGTAGATGTGACACTTAATTATTGATATTTTTATTGTCATTGAAAATTGCATAAATTTTCTCCTAGATTGGTCTGACGTCAAAATTCCCCATGCCTTAGCCAGTGATAATAGCACATTAGCTGACTCAAGACTTGTACTGCCGCTAGTGTTACAGTATCTTACCCCAAAATGGGTGTCATTTTTTGGCCTAGGCGCCATCTCGGCAGCTGTCATGTCATCCGCTGATTCCTCTGTTCTCTCAGCAAGCTCCATGTTTGGTTATAATATCTATAAACAAATTCTACGGCCTAAGGTAAATCAGAGACCAATTTTGCATTTTTTTAATTCTTCCCAACGTTGATGATGTTTAAGAGATCTCATTAATTATTTTAACTGTAGAAACATTCTCACAATGCATTTCTCAACTAGCATTTCTCAGCAGGTTGAATTTCATTTAATGCTATTCAGCCCGTTTAAATTTCCCATGATTACATCCTGCCATCGGAATTTCTCCTGAATATTCACTTAATTGAATGTTAATAAAAACTACAAAAAGTTAACCTTGCAAAGTAAATTAACAAACCTTTTTTTTATTTTCAAATTTGTAGAATGCAATTTTCAAATACTTGGCGTTTTATAGCTAACGTGTCTTTATTAAGCTAGTGTCTTTATTTCTATTCTATATTATTGTAAGCTATGTTTTATCTAATTATAGACTTGTATATTTAATGTGGTTGACTAAAATTAGCATTAGCTAGAAAATTATCCAACCCTAAATGAAGAAGTTATTGTTATCATTATTATTATATTTTTCTTGCAAATGTATGCTTTTTCTTTGTAGGCCTCTGACCGTGAGCTGATATGGGTTATAAGAATTGGCATCTTCTTTGTTGGTGCTCTCTCGACAGTGATGGCCCTTACAATCAAAAGCATATACAGTTTGTGGGCTTTATGTTCTGATCTTGTCTTTGTTATATTGTTCCCGCAGTTGCTTTGTGCCATTTACGTGCCATTCGTTAACACGTACGGATCTGTTGCAGCGTATTGCATTGGCCTCATCCTGAGGCTTGGTGGTGGCGAGGCTGTCATTGGTCTCTCTCCATTTATCAAGTATCCTTTGTACGATGAAAAATTGAAGAAGCAGCTCTTCCCGTTTCGAACATTGGCCATGCTTGTGTCATTATTGACACTTATCTTGGTTTCTTTATTGTTTCAATTTCTGTTCAAGAAGTGCGAACTATCAAAGAAATTTGACCTGCTTCAAGCTTTTGAATTGAAAGAAGGTACCAATGTGAGATCAGTATCATTAAGAGGCAACAATTACGAGGAACATAGAAATGAAGACCAAAAAGATAGTTTGTCAAAATAGTATCCTTTTTGTATGATTTCTTTCATTCATATATAGACTATTTAACATTTGTATATGCAAAGTAAATGTCATAGATATTTCATTGACATAAAAAAGTTTAACGATAAAAAGAGCTGTTGAATGATAAAGTCATCCTATTTCTAGAATTTAACTATGATATAAGAAAATAAACCATGAAATACCTCGAAATGTGCATATCAGTTGAGAATGCTACAAATTGACTGAGATGTAATGTTATGAAGATGCCTCATGAGCCCATGCTCGTTCCCACCAAATTGGTAAAAACAACAGTAATTCGTCGAAATAATAAAATACAGGTCTTTTACATTGTAGCCAATTCGCAATAAATTTTGTTGCTTTTTAATAATTAGAGGTATTTCATGGTGTTATTTCGGGTTATGAAGTTTCGGGTAAAAATTTTAAAAAATGTTCTATGATGTCAACATTTATCTCTCTGCTGAAACGCATAACAAGCTCTTGATTGATGAATTCTTCTTTTCACTCTTCAATAACCATATTTATCTATGATTATAGCATTTTGTCGTCAGGTGATTTAAGTGAAGTTGATAAGTAACGTAAACAATGTAACGGTTGATCAATATTGGATATATACGTTTTATCAAAATCTGTTGCAATATATTCTATGTTCTTACTTGAAAATAGTGCATTCACCGTATCAGTTTGTGAATATGCAATTGGCAATTGTCTAAGCAAATATTATTCAGATATATGCAAGCCTCACTTATCTGTCTTTACATACGATAATACTTGAACATCGTGATAAAATATAACAGCTAAAGAAAAATACGTGATTTTTGGACGACGAATCGGTGATCGTTTTCTTTGCCTTGCACGTAATTATATTGAGCTGCATCAATAGGAAGGCGTTGTTCAACACATGTTGGAGAAACTGAAGGGTTGGGAAACATACGCTGTCGAAGCTCAGCAAACCCTTAGGCCCCTTCAAAAACCCACTACTACATCGTCATTTTGTTTTAAATTTAGCGTTGATCTCTGCAAAATTTCAAAATAGAAAGAAACAGCGCCTGAAATTTAAATTTACTTATTAACCTTTGATTATCACTCCCAAATATACGAAAATGCGGATATTTTTCATGTAACATCTGATCAGAGCACGATTTCTTTGTTAATCCCATGAACATTGAATATAAAATTGTGCAAAACTCGTTAGCTAGGAGTTATTCTTATAAGTGCCAATAGATATATTCACAAATCATAGTATTTTGTGACATTATTTCGTAGTTATATGCAAATACATAATTACAAACTAGCCATTATATTTGCCTGCTACTGCACCAATTCCCTTGCCTATTAGGGATTGTTGAGATGTGAAAATACCTAATGTTTATTTAACATAATTATAATGTTTATTTAACATAATTATTATGTTTATTTAATATAATTATAATGTTTATTTAACATAATTATAATGTTTATTTAACATAATTATAATGTTTATTTTACATAATTATAATGTTTTTTTTAACATAATTAATGATAATATCGTTGCTTTAATAAGTAGCGTATTAGAGCTACAGGCGTATAGCTTTAACAAGTAGGAAAGAAAAGAAAACAAATTAAATTGAATAAATTGATATTTGATCGAAACCCGGGTTTATTGTCAATGATACTTGCCTCAGCCTCAAAATTGGTCAAAGCACGAGAACACGGGCCTCAAAATTGGTCAAAGCACGAGAACATGGGCCTCAAAATTGGTCAAAAGTTAAGAACAAAGTAAGAATAAGCTGAGGCTAAGCTTCTGCAAAATGCAATTTCTAACAACGTTTTTTCTCAAAATCGAGGATTTTCAGCCATGTGTGGGTGCTTTTTCGGTGAATATTCAAACCTTTCGACCAATGAAGGTTGTCTCGCTTACTTTGTTGGCAAATGAGGTCTGACTACCTCCCTAGAGCAAAAAAGCTAACACTTGTTCTGTTTACACCCTATTAAATTAAGAAAAAATTAAGAACAATCCAGGCTCAGATTCTCGAAAAAATTAAGAACCGTTAGCCTGAACTTAAATTTACTGGTTCTTATAAAAAAAGAGTGTATTTGAAAATGGCTTTGAAAAAAGCAAACATTTCACAGCACACTACTAAAAGCTTTTCGTCTGATACTCCTCAGAGTATAAAACGTCGGAATAAGGTTCCGAAAAACACGATTGAATATATATATATACCCAGTTGTGGATCGAAATAGGCCAATCAGAAAAATGTAGCACATCACCGGCATAGTTTTCCAATTAGTGCCTCGCTCCTATAGAAAAATTAGGCCATCACAAAATTTTTCTTTGCTGTCAATCACGATATAAAACTTACGGCCTCGTTTTGGATTTGTTTTTCTAAATCTGATTAGACGACTTTTTTAAGGTCAGATTGAGTTTTATCACCATTCTTTGTCAAAGTCAACTCAATCTGTCCAATCCAGTTCAAAGGAAGGTGTCAAATAGTTCGCTACACATTGGGACAAGCATAAGAGCAATAGGCCAGTTTCACGACACCCCCCTAGTCGCCAATGACGATCCAATCACTTATAAAAATGTTATCTTTATTTCGTCATAACATCAATATCGCAAGGGTGGATCTTCCAAAAAAATTTGAGGGCTGCTCAGTTTCGGGTGGGACTGGTGCCACGCCCTTCAAAATTTATAGTGATCAGAATTTCTTTTGGACGTTCAAAGAGCAAGGTTGGCAATACCTGTTTTTTAAATAATTGATTTGAAAATTAAAACAATTATTTTTTCAACTTCTGGCAATGTGCTATTTGAAATGAAAAAATTACATAAAATCCAACAAAAATGACAATAATAAACAATTATAATTGCTTTTCTCTTACTTTAAAGGCAAACAATTTCGGACAAAATATTTTAGGACGTTTTTCAAAGTTATTTCGGACATTTCCAGAGAAATTTCGGACGAATAGATATCTTAAGGTTAACTCTTTCAAGTTCGTTTAAATGGTTCACTCAGAACGTCATATGTGCTTGTATTGTAAGTTCATGATGATATACAGTTTCATAATTTCGAAAGGATTTATCCCGAAATTCGTTCCAGATGAAACTTTTCACCTTTCCGCCATCCCTAATCACGACAAGATCCCTTATAGAATGTTCAACTTTATGTCGTTATAAAATCAATATCACGACTCATGTATGACGCAAAACTTAAATGTAGACTGAGATCCTGAACTCAAGCTATTGATTCTTGAACTATGATGCCCGTCCAAGACCATCCCTACTACGGTACTGAAAGGTATTTGGCAAGGCGATTTTACTTGGTATTGAGATTGAAGAAATTCAAAACTTTGATGCCATTAGATTTATTAATGGGATACCGTCAAAGAAGTATTGTATATTTGAATTGTAATTTTGTAAAGTAGCGTAGCTTGTAAATCTGTCTTGTAATCTTTTAGTGGATATATAAATTAAGTAGCCAAAAAATTTCTTCAACGCTGATTCGAGTTTTGCTTTTGCTGGAAGTAGCACGAACAGAGCGTTAATGCGTCAGCAGACTGCGTTTTACAGTGCGGATTTTCGTGACCAATAACGTTTAAGCGCAGAAAGGATCTGGAGGATCTTGAACCAGATTTAGAGACACTATGGTTCGAAGTTTCTGGACAGAATGAAAATAGTAATTCACTATTTGCAGTTTTTTATCGCTCTAATAAATTATTACAAGCAAATGAATGAATAGGTAAGACTAAGAGCGTCCTAAGCAATATCGTATCTCAATGGAATGGTCTTTAGTGGTCACAGGCGACATGAACATTGACTTTACTAAAAAAGGGACAATCACTGAAGGCATTAAACCTAGAACAGCATGTTCCGAAGCCAACTAGAACAACTAGAAACTCGAGCACTCTAATCGACAATATAATATCGAACAGCCCCTCACGGGTCACCTTTACAGATGTGGTTCCATGTAGTAATATCAGCGACCACGATGCTCCATATGCCTGCCTCAATATAAGAGTGAACAGATATGTGCCAAGGCTTAAATATATAAGAAATGAAAAGAAGTTTTCTATTGCATCATACATTAATGATTTTTCCTGCTTGCCGTTCAACCTTATTTACTCTACAGATGAAGCAACTGTTATGGTAGAATATCTAAAAAAATTAGTCAAAGAGTGTATAGACAAACTTGCTCCTTTAAAAAGAACCAAAGCAACGCGTCCTCCAGCCCCTTGGTTGAAGGATATAAATATATCATCTCTTCAACAACAATGAGATCAGCTTAGGTATAAAGCACACAAAATAAAATCAAATGAAGTCTGGCAAGCTTTCCAAAATGTCAGGAACCAGCTTAAAACAACAATTAAAGAGACAAAACGCAAGTTTTTAAAATCAGCTTTGCCATCAAGACGATCAAAAGAAGTCTGGAAAATTTTACACAGGGTGCTGAATCCCAGCCCACAGCCAATTAAGCCTGATGTCAATGAACTCAACAACCACTTAAATAGTACAGCACAGAGAATACTAGAGTGTTCACCTGCTAACATCGAAAATCTTTCCAAACTCGTCGAGAATTTACCATGTCCAGACAACTGTTTTGCTTTAGGCCCGGTCACCTATAAAGAAATCTTAGCTGAACTGAAATCTCTACGAGGCGATTGCTCACTAGGACCAGATCAAATCCCTGTTAAATTCATCGGACCAGTCGCAGAATATCTCGTTTCCCCAGTGTGTCACATTATCAATTCCTGCATCGCAAAGTCAACCTTCCCGTCACAATGGAAGAAAGCTCGCATTTATCCAATGCCTAAAATTAATAACCCTAAAAGCAGTGACAACTATAGGCCTGTTTCCATCATACCATTTTCATCAAAATTCTTTGAACGCGTAGTTATGAAACAAATCGTGAGCTTCATTGATAAAGAACAGGTTATGTACGAAAGAATATTTGGGTACAGAAAAGGACGTTCCACAGTTACAGCACTACTTGGAGAAAAAGATATGATCATGTAAGCTATAGGAAGAAGCGAAGTTACCTTCATGGTTCTTGCGGACTTCTCAAAAGCATTTGACACCATTAATTATAAAACTTTGATACAAAAGATGCATGCACTTCGTTTCTCCGACAGTTTTCTTAAGTAGTTACTAAGCTACTTGGACAATCGTTACCAGTTTGTTCAAGTAGATGATAGAGCATCAGAACTTTAGAGTACCACAAGGATCTATTCTAAGTCCTGACCTGTTCAACTTGTATTTCACCGAACTCCAAAACAAAATCGAACTACCATGCTTTCAGTATGCCGATGATACGACTATACTTGCGCATGGAAAGCCAAACGATCTGTCGTCTCTTGAAACTGCCCCGAATGAAGATCTGGCAAAGCTAACTTCATGGTATTCATCTACAAATCTTGCTCTAAACCCAAATAAGACAAAGATTATGGTCATGAGTACAAAACAACTCTCAAAGCATCACAATCTCGAAGACTACAATCCAGTTCTAAAGATTGGAGAAAAGTACCTTGAACGAGAACATTGCAGTAAAATGCTTGGCGTAGTCTTTAATGAGCATCTGTCATTGGATGACCACATAGCCAAAGTAACATCCTCATGCTTCTATTCCATGTCCGTACTACGAAAATTCAAATATCTTATGCCATATAAATTAAAGCGACAAGTTGTTGAGCTCCTCGTGTTATCAAAGATGTACCATGTAGATGCTGTTATTCGTCCTCTTCCGTTACGACTCTTAAAACGATTGCAAAAAGTTCAAAACGCTGCTGCAAGTTTTGTATTAGGTCGCTACGCCAAGGAGAAAGACGTGGTGACACTTGGTAGGCTGCCAATGAAAGAGCGCAGAGATTGGCATCTACTGAATCTTTCTCATAAGTACGTTCATGATGACAGAAAGCCAAAATATATTGACAGATCATTGAATTGAAGAGAGGTATCCCTATATAAGAAATCTTATTCATAACAGTGATCTTATTGTATTAATATTTTAGATGTAGCAATTTTAATTAACCATTTAGATTTATGATGTTTTGTTTTGCTGTAGTGAATTAAGGGCCATTTCGGCCTATACGTCTATTATCAATAATGAAAAAAGAAAACGCCCGAAACTTAAGTTATAGTTCTGTGCCTTTTATTGCGTCATCACCTGCTTCTAACACATTCAGGAACGATGCAGCAGATCTCTTCAATAAACTGCCGGCAGAAATCAGGACAGCAAAGACTACAAGCGAATTTTCGAAGCAAATATGCAATATTTTTTTATTCAGATGCAAATAAAAGACTTCCAGTACAACATTAGTTTGACATGAATTTGTGTTCTACTTTTTTTAATTAATTACCTTTTATATTGTAAATAGTTGAATTTTAAAAACAAATAAAGTAATTTTAGCGACCAGTTGAAGAGCCACTCTGTGGAGAAACTGGTCTTGATTTCATATTACTATTATTGTCAAAATTGTTTCTGTTGCTTTTTGTTGTGTCCACTATACTGCTGGCTAATGCCTAGGCAGACTATTTTTGTTGTTCTATTTTCTTTCATAAAAAGATTTAACAATCTCGCAGTTTTGGCTGAGTACCCATTCTTGACATTGTTCGATTACTAATTTTGCCTCCTTCTCTCCTTCACATAGTCTCTTGATATGACACTCCAATTGCTTGCTGTAACAGCCTAGGACGTCAAATACAACATTGATTTGATCTTTTTCGTATCCACGATTTAACCGTTCCAGTGACTTTCTCATTTCAGAATACTTGTCTTGTTTTTCTTTCTCTCTCTTGGCAATACATCCAGGTGCACATATAGTCCCCTCTATCAAACTGACCTTTTTCCTACTTTGTCAATTATCAGCATATCAGGCTTAATGGCATTTTTGCTTGGTTTTTTGTCTAAGTGCATCGGTATGTCCCACATAATCTTAGCATGATCATTTTCGATGCTTGCAAGAGGTAATGCTTGCTTGTACCATGGAACCATAGTGATGGAACTCCGCGATTATTTCCATCAAATTCAAACTTTGCTCGTATTAGATGATAAATAGGTCTTAACATTCTATCGTGTCGTGCCTTGTAGAGTGTTTGTGCTAACTCTTTCTTCATATAGTCTTTGAAGGATACTTCCTAGTCTGCGTTGGATCTGTATATAGTTGTCATCTTTTAACTCCACCCTTTCCTGTTCATAGCTTAATACAGACTTTTCCTCTTATTATTATTACTATTATTATTATTGTTATTATTGTTACTATTATTATATTACTATTATTTTATGGTGACGATGGAGGGCAGTCGGGCCTAATGGTGCGTCTGTCTGAAGTTTAAAAATTCCACGTAATCCGTCGTAACTGCCGTCGTTAATGCTGTTGTTCACTACATCAAGTTAATATTCATGATTGTCAAGCTAAAAAGAGCAATTAAATCAGCCATAAGAGGAGGAAAGATATTTTTTGTTGGAACCAAGTTCGACTCAAATTTTGATTGCGAGGAAATCTATGATGATATCAGGTTATTGAATGGAGACGAGTGGGGAGCTTTTCAGGACAGGGAACGAAAATTCAGAGGTTTCATAGAATTTTCTCAAACAAAATGGTTTCATAGAACATCAGATTCAAAAAGGTTTTACCCATCAGATATCGGGTACACTAGAACATACTGCGATGATGAGCCATATAATCGACAAAGCTCGAATAAAACAACGGTCTCTAGTCATAACATTATTGGATCTAAAAAATGCCTTCGGAGAGGTTCATCACAATCTAATCAAATCTGTTCTGTCTTATCACCAAGTACCAGAAAACATCCAGTCCCTGATTTCAAGTCTCTACATAAATTTTAAAACCTCTATTATCACAGATAAATTTGTCACCCCTGCTATTCCTGTTAAACGTGGAGTTCTTCAAGGTGATTGCCTCAGTCCCCTTCTATTTAACATGTGCTTTAACACTTTCCTTCAATACATAAAGGCAGCAAAATTCAAACAACTTGGTTTCTCTCCCTATATGCTCACCAGACTGTATGTTCACCCCAGAGCACTGGTTTCAGTTTGCAGACGATGCTGCAGTCATTACAAACGGGGAGAAAGAAAACCAGCTACTCTTAAACTGCTTTACAGGATGGTGTCAATGGTCTAACATGATTATAAGAGTAGACAAATGCACAACCTTTGGTATTAAAAAATTCTCAACACGCTCCCTACAATATCAGCCAAAGCTCTTCGTCAAAAATGAAATGGTCCCTCCTGTCATAACTGGAGAGTCTTTTAAGTATCTTGGGCGTCACTTCGACTTTAATATGAGCAACCAAGAACATATGTCTAAGCAGCTCAGCTCCATCTTCACAGAACTCCTAACGCAAATTGATTCTTTACCTCTCCATCCAAAGAATAAGCTGCTTCTATATAACAGCCATCTTCTCTCACAAGTTTTGTGGCACCTCACAGTGGCCTATCTATCAAAAACCTGGATCGTCGAAAACCTTGTTAATCACGTTTCTGCATTTATCCGCCGTTGGCTCGATTTACCCATAAGTGCTACCTTAAGTGGCATTATTCTGTCAAAAACCCAGTTCGGTCTTAACTTGATTCTTCCTTCTGTTGAATTCATGCAGTGTCAAACTGTTTATAGTAATGCACTGAAATCCTCTCCCAACAAAAACATCCAATCTTTGTGAAAGAATACCAGCCAGAGCATGAGCATCCAATATGATGTTTACAGGAATACCAGAGAAGTATTGAAGGCTGTTAGATCAGAACATAAAGAGCGCCTTCAAAATCATCTTATATCTCAAGGTACCGTTCTTTCCTTCATCTTTGACCACTCTCTTCCTATAGCCTCTAAAATATGGACCACGGTTCAAAGCAACATGCCCAAGAACATTTACAGTTTTACTATCAAATATCTTAGCAACTCCCTTGCCACGCGAAAAACGGAATCTAAATGGAACATAACTCAGTCGTCCGATTGCTCTTTTTGCCATATGCCAGAAATGTACTGAATTATAGCTTAGACCCCATGACTCCATTTTGTTATAGCCTCGTTTTGAAAAGAGACCACGTTTTTTTGTAAAAGTTGATAGTTTTGTTGATCGATATAGCTTGCACTCGCACAAATGTTTTTCTCTATCGTAAAGATATTCTCCGAATGTGTTGATTAGGATATTTTACGACAGAAACGTTACTTCACATTGTTGCAGGCTGCAAAACATACCTGAAAGAAGGCCGTTACACATGGCGCCATAACTCTGCATTAAACTTCCTAGCACAGTCTTTAAAAGCTTTACCTAATTGCTCTCTTTACGTAGACCTTTCAGGTTATCTCTCATCCTCTATCATAACAGGAGACTCTTTACGTCCTGATCTACTTCTAATCACTTCTGACCATCGGCTATTCATACTCGAGCTTACAGTAGGATACGAAATTAACTTGGATGTTAATGATAACCGCAAAAGAGAGAAATACTCCCATCTCATTCACAGCCTAAGCTCAGCCTATTCTTCCATCATGTTTGTTAATCTTTCTATCAGTTCCCTAGGTATCTTTGGTCTCTCCTGCTCCTCTTTCATTGACATGTGCAACGCTCTAGATATCAGCGAGAATCCAACTTAACTATCCGTACTACCTATTACATTTTCTGCCGCAGAAATAAGTCTTGGAATAATCATGAACTTCTTCAATTCTAACGATCTCTGCTACTAAGAACTTCTAAAGCAAACAATGACGAACATACTTTTTCCTTTTTTTGTTGTTGTTAATTTATTTTGTTTGTGCTTGTAATAGTCTTTTTCTGTGTAAACCCAGGCTAGCCAATTGCAAATTACCTTTGTAATAGTGAAATTTGTAATTGTAGTTTTAATTGAATTGAAAATGGAAAGTTTCCATTATTATTTTTATTATTATTGTATTATTTTTATTACTATTATCATTATTATGCTGATGTACACAGTTCTGATGTTATAACTGGCTTGTTCTTGATGTTTCTTGAAATCGGATCAATACCCATGATCTTAGATCTCGAGAACTGTTCTCAACACTCTTGCAGTTCCTAAAAGTATAGATTTTTGTATTAGTTTTATCTGCGTCTTGACTCCAATTTCCTTGATGTAGTTGCTCAAATTTCGTGTTACTGTTCCAAGGGCTCCCAAGACAATAGGAATAACTTTTGCTTTCACTTTCCATAATCTTTCCACTTCTCTCTTTAATTCGTCATACTTTTCGATTTTCTCCATCTCTTTTTCAGATATTCTCACATCTCCCGGGACTGCAACATCAATGATGTAAAACTTCCTTTCTTTCTTATTGACAACCACTATGTCAGGTCTCCTTGCCTGGATTTCATTGTCTGTTTGAATATTGACATCCCAGAGAATCTTTACATTTGCTGTTTCTACCACTCCATCTGGTTGGTGTTCGTACCATTTATTTCCACAATCTATGTCATACAGGCGACAGACATCCCAATGGAGGGCTTCCGCTACACAGTCATGTCTACGTTTATACTCTCTCTGTGCCAGTTTTGGGCATTCACTGACAATGTGGCTTACTGTTTCCTCTTTCTGATTACACATTCTACATTTCGAGTCCTTCTGCGTCTTGTCGATGTTTGCTTTAATTGCATTTGTTCGCAAAGACTGGGTCTGCGCCGCCATTATCAGTCATTCAGTCTCCTTTTTCAAATCCCCGTCCCGGAGCCATCCCTATGACTCTGGGTCATTTATTTCGCTTGTCTGCCTGAAAAAGTGTCCATGCAACGCCTTTTCTTCTAGCTCTGATCGCCTCTCTTCTCTTCTTCGCTTCTTGAAATCTTTCTCTGACACTTTTTCTCCTGCCTCGCATCTCACTGATGACAATATCCTCTCTTTGCTCCCCTGAACATAGTTTTCAAGCCCCAAAATTGCGAGCTGAACACAATCCTCAATTTGTACAAGTCCTCGTCATC